AGGTCATTATATTCTTAAGCGCTGAGAATTAGAGGCGTTACTAGAAAGTAACATTTTTAAAAAAAGAGGAGAGATAAAAACATTACAAGTTTGAAGGGAAAAAAAATTTGCAAGCCATACCAGAGCACAAGCAAACCACCCATAGCGTCCTTCAACCATTCCCTTGCAACAGTGCTAGTTGATAAAATGAAAATAATGATGTTCAGCCTTCACATAAAAACCCCTTGTAAATTTTCCCCACCGTTATAAAAAAAATTAAAAATCACACACAATAACAGAATATATCCACATGAAATAAATCACATCAACAAAATACACTCACACCAAAAGAAACACATCAACAGAACATATTTACCGAATAAAACACATCAACAGAATAATATGTTTTCACAAAAAGAAACACACCGACACAACATGAGTGTGTACCTGGAGAAAGGTCCCAGTTGTCGGAAATTTTGAATATCAAAACAAGGGCATATTCTTGTTGCAAATAGTATGCTGAAAACGCAGATTTAAAAAAATATATGGTATTTTTAAAGAAATCCCATATTTTGTAACACAGGGTGTAAAAACAAAGTTTGTAGAAAACCCCAACTTCTAGCACATTTTTGAACCTTTCTTGAAGTACAACGCGTTGCAAAAATAATCAATTTTTAAAAAAAGAATTCGGCCTAAAATATTATCAAAATCCTTTCAATAAATTATGAAGAAATGGTTCATCGGTAGTTTTCTGGTGGTATAGATTTTTTGACCAGGTACGACTTTATCGGGTTTTTCACCATATTGCTCAAAAAATAGCTTTTCCAATAACTAGGACCTTTCTGCATGCACACACACACACATAATATATTGATGAAATAAAACTCATCAACAGAATACACTCACACAAAAAGAAACATATCAACAGAACTTGTTACCAAAATGAAACGCATCATATCGCTACCCTAGAATTACAAAGTTCTATCTGCTCAGAACCTAGTTTTGGGAAATTTAACATTTTAAAATTTTGAGTTTCAAAACATGTCAAGCTTTTCAGAAAGCAGTACTTTGAATATCTTGATAACGACTCCGAATAATCTTACACTTTTGATAAAGCAGACAAAGAACATTTGGCTTCTAATCTTATGCTCTTAGTAACTCAAAACTGCCAAAAATGTCAAATAAAACTTAGTTAATTCAGCAATACGTTAACAGAATTTAAAAAATCAACAGAAAGTTCCCACAAAGAAAAGCACTGCCCCCAAACAAACATGGAAAACCATTCTTACTGGGGAGTTAGCAGCACCATAGACAAGCATGATATCTACTGAGCTAACACAACAGCACTCTTTTGTGTTTACTTAAGAGAAGAACATCAACATGATAACGGTCATTGAATGCTGGCGTAAAGCGGTCATTGAATGCTGGTGTAAAGCAAGACAAACAACAGAGGGAAAGACAAAAATAAAGATGTACAAGTGGCACCCTCCAACCACCCGACCCGTAGTATAATGTGGAGGAACAGTTGGCAGAAAAACTAGAAAATATTATTTTAAAATATAAAAAATACAGGGGCAGCCGCCATCGATGGGGCTCAAACCCACAAACACCAACCAATATATTAGGCCTACGCCTCAAAATCTAAAAGAAATCTAAATGTATCATGCACAAATCAACAACACAATTTTAGATAGTCCGAGCAAATTTCAGGAATCCGGATATCCAGATTTTAAACAAAATCATCACCTGTGACCTCACAGAATCCTCCACCCATTTACTTAATATCAGAGCTGGCTGGTGTGTAAAGTTTGCAAAGGGAAACGCGAAAAACACATCCTTTGTAGTACTATTGACAATATTTTCAACTGGAATGTTTCAGTTTAGCTTGAGAAATGAGAAGCACATCAAAACAATAACGTTCATTTAGTGTATAGTAAAAGAAAGCCAGACGCACACAAAGTAGGGCTGGGACACGAGCGCGAGAACGGAACTGAATCGCCACTCTTGCCTGCGGAACGCGATTCACGATTCACTTCAGTGGAACGCGGAACAGTATCGCCAAACGATTCCCGATTCACTCCCCTGTCGCTGTCACCACCGCACCTTGTGGCTTGTTTAACCTACTGCTGAGTCGAGTCTCAAATTTGACGAGCAGGATCCAGCCCTAACAGAAAGTAGAATCTACCAGAGCCACCCTTCAAACCACTCACAACTGGCATCTGAACACCAGAAAAATTTGTAAAAACAAAAACAAAAACCTGAGAAGGAATGAAAAACAACAAATCCCACCCCAAAGAAAAGAAAACATTAAACAAACAAAAACTTGCAAGATAGGAGACAAAAATAAGCATCACTTTAGCTTCAAACAAACCTTTTATTTGATGATAGATGATTTACGCCCTCTTCGATACAAGGAGCATAATATATAAATCATCTACTATCAAATAAAACGTTCGGACACAATTAAGACATTAAGAAGAGAGGCCGCTTTGACCCGTACTGAGCAGGGTACAACATTCCTGCAAATACAGACAAAGAAACAAGGTGAAAACTTTCTCAAATGAGACTCGAAATCAAATCTTAAGCGTGCAACGGTAAAGAGCCTAAATTTTACACTATTAAAACAACTGTCTAAAATCTGAACGCCACAAAAAATTGTAAAAGAAAAAAAAATAGAAGTAAGCCTGAGAAGCGAAGAAAAAACAATCCCCAACCTTTAGCACGGTTGTACTATTGTAAGTCACTTTGCCTTCCCCAGAGAAGTACGCGAAATATTTACAAAATGAAGAACATGAACACATAATACAACACCTATGTAATAGCTTGTATCCAACACCCCAAACCCCCCTCTCAAATCCCCAAATCCATTAAAACACAACTCAAGGGCCTCACAACCAATCTCCGATAGTAAAAGAAAGAAATATCACATCTCATCAGCGTCCCCCCCCCCCTCCACCTCCTCCTCCACAACCCCTCTTTTTCTTTTTCAAATCCCTCAACACTTTTAAAAATACAACTCAAGGATCTCACAATCACAATCAATCTCTGATAGAGAATAAAAGAAACATCTCACCTCGTCAGCTCATCCATCCCCACCCCATCTCTTAGAACACAATTCAAGGACCTCCCAACCATAACTGATATATGGGAAAAGAAGAAATATCTCATATCATTGCCCCTCCTCATCCCCCCCCCCCAACCTGTCCTCTCTCTAATCCCACATCCCTGAAAACACAACTCAAAGAGCTCACAGCCATACTCTGAAATAATGGAAAAAAATAAATATCTCATCTCATCAACCCCCCCCCCCCCCCTAAACCCATCCCTTACAACACAACTCAAGTTCCTCACAACCAATCTCTGACTGATACGCAAAAAATAATATATATAAAATAACTCATCTCATTGGTCACCGATCCCCACCCCGAACTACCCATCCCCATTATCTCCACCACCAGTCCTCTCCCTCCACCACCTCCTATCAATATCTTTTCCACATCATAATATCTGGAAATCCATTTTAAAAAACAACAGCACTCAATAACACTGTGATCGATTGAACAATTAATAAGAGCGAGCGTGAGGCATTGCGATGGAATCAGGCGCTCCTCAAAATAGTGAACTCAGAAAAAAAAATCAGCATTTTTCCAGTTTGGCCATTTTTATCGAATTTCTGTTTTTAGGCTCAGCACCTTTAAATTATGCCCATTTAAAATCAGATTTCTGTGTGGTTTTTACTGAGAAACGTTGATTAAAGGCAGAAAAAAAATGTAAATTGTCAGTTTTCAAAGACCCTTAACAAATGGAAGTCACCAAAATTTCCTCACAAATTTTGCCTCTAAAACCAGGTGACCCCCATCTCCTTCAATAGCAAATATCTCGACTTTTATTCAAGATAGAAAGGATTTTTTTCCATCCAAAGCAAGACAAACGGACAAACTTTAAGATGATACCAATAACTCTACCTGCCCAAAAATTGGAGAGCGCCTGATTCCACTGCGTCGTGATACAAATAATTATTGCAAATGATTTAAGCCTCCATCAAACCATTATATAGATTTGTCTTTACAGGAAAATATAACAAGCTATTCTTCACTGAAACCATCCCAAAGACAAAAGGTCTTTCAACAGAGACAGCCTACAAACCGCACTGAAATAACATCAGAACTATTTTGTACCTGGGAGAAAATAGCTTTTCTAGCAAACCAGGTGAATAAATTAGCTTTTTGAGTCAATTAACCATGACCAAATCAGGAGTCTTAAGCCCATTTTGCATGTCAAAAAGGGTGATCGTGGAAAAAAAAGTCAATATATTTTGCTATTTTGTTTCTGTAAGAGTTTTACAGTGCTCGCAACTACGAAAGGTCATATTAGCTCCAAGTCGATTTATTCTTTTGATGGTCTGTTCAACGAGTGCTTTTCGAGTGAATCGAGGGAAGAAATTACTTTTTTGAGCAAATCAAGAGAGACAAAAATATGCAGACTGGTCAGTAACAAAGATATGGAGAACCAGTTTTTCTGCACAAAAATAAAGGTCGCCTCAAACGATAAAAATTTTTAAATTTCGAATAAAACACTGAAAATGGTCATCATACATATATACAAAATTGTCAGAGGCCGGTTGGTTCAGTTTAAAATCAGGTCACAGGGGCAGAAGTGTCAACAATGTCAATAATATCAATTACAGGAACAACAACATTTGTCATAACAACCATCATCATACCAACAAATATAACACTAAAGTAACAATAATAATAACAATTAACACAGAAATTATCATAACCAGGACAGAAAAGGCAATGCAGCTACGCATAACAATTGGAATAGTTATCATCTTCACTATCATTAATAATATTGCTGTATTCATAGCTATAATAATAATAACAGTATAAATTTAATAAAGATCAGTGTCAAAGCATGAGCAAGCTTACACCAAACATACTTGCTATCTCAGTAGAGGGGCAAGCAAAGGGACATATCATCAGTGTCGCAAGCAATCCACTGAAGTCTGTTTGGGTACCTTTTTTTTTTACTTCAGAGACAAAACACTAGATTATGCTGTGTCGTTCCCATAGGGAATCATGAAAAGAAAGAAAATTGCAAGCCTTGGCCACAGTATTAAACTGCATTTTGGTGATGTTGCAAGGAACATCTCTGATCGAGTTTTGGGAGGATGTACAAGTAAAAACTGAACATTCTCAAAACTTGGATTTAAGTGGACTACTTGCGACACCATTATTTCCTTGCATACTCAACTTGGGAGCACTCACCAAATTTTACCATAATGCTCCTCACGTCAAAGTACTGAGAATGTTAGTTTTTCCAAGATTAAAGTAAGGCCATTTGTGCTTAGCCATTACAATTCACATGTTATTAATGAGAAATAATTCACAGATGGATATCCGTAAACGAATCCCTACATCTCAACTTGTGCCTTATTAGAAAGAAAACAACAACACCATTAAAAACAAGTAGAAAAATTTGAGCATCACAAAAAACCTGAACAAGAAAAACAGGTTTCAGTTATAAGTTCTTCGATAAATACAGAAAAATATATGCAACAAATTTCTTCAACCCTTTCCTGGTTTCACTTAACATTTTTCCGGGCCTGCCAATATTGTAATGCCATAAGACCAGAATACTTAAAATACGAGAGGCCACTGACCAGTGAAGACACAAATACCATAAAATTTGTTGATAAATAGTCACTTCTAGTTCCGGCACAAAAATAACATCATACCAACCAAACTGACACACAATAAAAACATAAAACAAAAGACGACTGAAATAATAGAACCATTAAAAAGAGCAAGCGAGGTTAGAACCATTACAAATAAATGGGGTGGGGGGGGGGGGGAGGGGGGATTAGTGTAGTTATTGTTACGAATAGATACAATAGCTTGTTCACTTTCATCTACCCGGGACTAAAAAAAAGGATAAAAACAAATCACTCTGTTTAATCTTCTGAGATCTGTGCACGCAGCTCTTAAAAGTTCGACGACCAACAGAATATAAAGGCCCATTAACACTTTGCCATCACAAGGTTCATATAGTAAAAAACCCATGCCATCACAAGCATTTTGGGGGAAATCCAAAGAAATTGGAAGATAAACATCGCTGATCTGCGTTTTGCGACGGGAGCGGAAGTTCGGCGTTCTTGTTGATGGGCGAGATGTGACGGCAAAGTGTTAATGAAGGCCACTGTAGAATAAGGTTCAGACACATTTTCTTAGATCTTAGTCTAAAGTGGGTTAAAAAAAAAGCATAGGCAATCTATACCATACACCTTAATAAAAAAACAAGTTGGCCTATTTTCATCAACACCATATTTTACTGCATCGCTATAAAACACGGCCCAACAGATGGTTGAGTACTTTTTGAGGTTAGAGTGGTGACACCTAGATACTATGGGGGGGGGTGTCGTCTGTGTGATCATTCTGGAATGGGGTGGCAGGGTGGTGTCGCAGTCTCAAAAACAGCAATTTGTTGGCTAGGTTACCATAAACCATTTATTGTAGCAATCCAGTGGACACACCTTAAGGGCTCTGTTTAATATAGGGCCCAAACAAAGACTCTTTCTAATTACTGGATCAAGATATTTTCAGAAATACTTTTGTTTGGTCACTGGCTGACTGTAGGGTGAAAAGTTACACGTATATTTGCATTTTAATAAAGGAGCTAAATTTCTTTAAATGCGGATAGACAAAAGTGAACAAGTTGTAATTTTTATTGTTGTTGTTCCTGCTGGCTACGAAGTGAAAGTCGAAGGTCAGCTGTCAATGCCAAAGGTCAAGAAGAAACTGAAGGTCATGCGACAATATCTTAGCCATTGTTTCCGCGGTACTCAAAGTAGTTGAAGTCTATGAGGAAGGTGGCGCCAAACAGCAGCATTTTCTTCATGAGATCCATGCCTTGAGGGACTGCAGATGGGAGAAAGAAATGGAAGCAAAACATGAATGAAGTAATATTAACAAAAAAGAAAAGAAAGTATTAAAACACGAATGAATAAATATTAATTTAAAAAAGAAAAAGCAGTTAAACACCAATGTATTCGATATTATTCATAACTAAAAAGAAGTAAAACACAAATGAATTACTATTAAAACATGAATTAATATTGATCAAAAGAGAAGGAGCTAAGATATGAATTAAATAATATTAATTAAAAAGAGGAGGAATTAAAATATGAATTAATTTATATTAATCAAAAAGAAAAAGAAGTAAGATATGAAATAATAGTAATCAAAAAGAAAAGGAAGTAAAGTATGGATGAATTAAAATAAATAAAAAAGACAAGAAGGTTAAACATGAATGAATGAATATTGATCCCAAAAAAAAGAGGAGCTAGAGCTAAAACATAAATGAACTAATATCTATCAACTAGAGAAAGGGCTAAAACAATTAATTATTTCAATAAAAAAAGAGGGTGCAAAAACAGGAACGTATCAAAATAAATCAATATCGATTTATGCATTTTGTATTTGTAATGCAATCTGTTGTTGTTATTATTATTATTAGTATTATTAATATTATTACTATTACGATTATTATTTATATTATTATTACTATTACTAATATTATTATTATTACTATTATTATAATTATTATTACTATTATCATTATTACTATTATTATTATTATTATTATTATTATTATTACTACTGAATGTTCTACGACCCCAATGCCACAATTTACATCATTCAGGAGATTGGCTGCTTGAACCCTGCCTGTCAGGGTCAACCTGGGTTGAGAGGGATATAATGGTCTTTTTAGTTGTCGTAAGCGTTTACAGCACTTGCAACACAATAATGTCACATAGGTGCCCAAGATTAGAAGTGTTACAAGAGAGAAATCGAAAACAAAAAGGGTGTAGGAGAGAAAGAGAAAGATAAAGACAACAGATGTTTGATAGGAAAGAAAGAGCAAACCACACCAGTCGAGCACCCGCCAACCACCCGTTCTGACGGTGTAGACTCACATTTGACACTGAAGTCGTTGGCCCCGCCGAAAACCTCTCGACATCCACCCCAGTGCTTGATGATCTGGCCAATCTCTGTACCCTCGCCGTCCGAGTCTCCTTCAAACACCTGTGCAAGAGCAGACAGAAAAGACAAGTGAGCAATATATACAGTAGAAGACAGTTTAGTTTTAGTAAGTGTTTTACGGCACTTGCAACACAATACAGCCATATAAGTGCTGAATATTAGAGGTGTTACAAGAGAGAAACAAACCAAAAAAAAAAAAAGAAGGAGGAAAGATAAGGACGAAAGATGTTTGATAGGAAAGAAGAAGCAAACCACACCAGAGCACCCGCCAACCACCCACGCTTGACAATCAATTGTACATTTTCTTGTACATGCTAAAGTATCTGGGTGCATCCAACATCAACACCATCAGCAAACACACATGCTAGGTGCACGATCCTTGCAGTGACACAAGTCGTGCTGGCGACATCCAACAAAAAAAAGTTCTTTTAAAGATTGACACAAATCTAAAATCAGTTTAGATTCGATCAAAAAGGACTAAATTTTTTTTGGTTTCTTTTTTTACAATAAAAACTAAAGTGTGCGTCTGTGTTTCTGTGTGTGTGTGTGTGTGTGTGTGTGTGTGTGTGTGTGTG